GCCCTTGAAATTTAGTGCAAAGTTTTGGGAGAAAGAATGGCTATTGCTTATAATATACTAAAGAGGTCACAAGTGTTCTCCAAAAGTGTTAAGAACTGCCTAGCTCTTCCCGCACAAACACCCCAGCAGTATTGGGGAGGTAGAGCGCAGCCCTCTTAGGAATCACTCAGAAAGGGTTCTCGTCTAGCCTTTGTTTCTTCTTGAGCCATAAGCAAGTTGCCTACCCTTCTGGTCCACAGCCTTCCTTTAAAATGAGAGTTGTAATAATCTCTACCTCGTGGAGTTATTGTAACGATTAAAAGAGATAATGATGTAAAGGGTTTAGCACATGCCTGACCAGAGCAGGGGTGCAATAAATGGTGCTATTGTTGGCCCAGGGTGAGGTGGGGGCTCACCACCACCCAGGTAGTAAGATCCATTGCTGGGCAAACACAATGCTTAGAAAATTCTTCTAGATATGGAAGCAGCCTTTCTCTCCCACTGAGAATCATGAGTTAGTCCCACTGATTCTGGTTAATGGATGACTAACGGAGTCTTTTTCTTCTTCCTCAGCCATTGAAACCCACATTTGAACCCCCAGTTGGAAGCCTGCCCTGACCCCAGCTAAGCTCTTTCTTTCCAGTTTCTTGTCCTCATCGTTCAGCTTCTGGGTGTTCAAATCCTCATCTAATCTGGTAACCTTCTCCTGGATCTGTCTGGCTTATCACCTCTTTATCACATTGGGTCCCCTGGTTGCATCTGCTGACTTAAGGACACATTGTTATGAGCTGGTGAACAAAGTCACTCCCTTCCTTTCCTTCCTTTCTTTTTCTTTCTTTTTCCTTTCTCTCTCTCTCTCTTTTTTTCTTTCTCTTTCTCTCTTTCTCTCTCTCTTTCTTTCTTTCTCTTCCTTCCTTCCTTTCTCTTTGTCGCATTCTCTCTCTCCCTCTTTTTCTGTTTCTTTATTTCTCATAAGTTTCCATCTAATCAGATTTCCCAGTCTTATTCTTATGTAACCAATTTTTTCACAACCTCAACACAGGATTTAGCACTCATTCCTGGTGAATTTCATCTTGTTGGTTTCAACCCAACTTTCCAATCTGTCAAGGCTGCCTTGAATCTGCATCAGTCACCCATTGTATTGGAGCTCCCTCTCAGCCAGCAGCCATCTGCTCCATGAAGAGCAGCTTCCTTGCTTCCATTCAAGGGACTCCTGACAATATCAGGCAGTCCAGGGATGGAGCTTTGGGACACCCCCATAGAGATTGCCTTCAGCTTTATCAAAATTGTTCAACTTTAAATCCGAGTCTCTACCATCCAGTTCACATTTCTGTCTTGTCTATAAGGACAAATGCCAAATGCTTTGCTGGATCAAGATAAATTGTCTGAGGCCACCCAATTACAATGGCAGAGGAAAGAGGGAGTTTGGCTGGTGTTCAAGGATCACAGCTTAATCTTTCCCTAAATGGTCACAGTCACCCAACTAGAAACCTGTTCTGGAACTTGCCATGCATGGATGTCAAACCGTTCCCTTCTTTTCAGAATCTACCTGTTACTTCTTTGGGTAAAATCAAATACCAGCAGCTCTTGTGAAGTGTCTGTTCATCAATGGCTTCCTGCAATGCTTAGCATCAAGTCCAAATTCCTCCCCATGGCCACAAGGTGCTGTCTGCCTGCCCCAACCCCTGAGCTCATCTGGACCCCTCACCCACCTCCAGCCCATGAGCCTCCTTGCTTTTACACATCAAGCCTGCTCCCACTTCAGGCCTTTTCACTGGCTGCTCTTTCTGTCGAGAACACTTTATTCCCCTGCAGCCATTTGCTTCATTCATTCATCTCTCTGCTCACCTCGTCAGAAAGGCCTTCCCTGCCCACTCTCCCTAAAGTGTCGGCCCTCTCCCAACACCCGCTTAATCCAGTCATTATCTCCTTACCTTTATTTGTATTTCCAGCACCAATTGCCCCTGACCGTATATTAATTTGTTTATTCTTTATCCTTGGTTGAATATAAGTTCCATGAGCACAGAGACTTTGTTTTCTTCACTGCTCCAAACCAGCACTGGAATAGTGCTGGGTACATGGCAGGTGCTCAGTAAATATTGAACTAATGAACCTCTCAGGACTCCAGGTGGAACCCCCACCTCTATCCGCTGACTCCAGTCTAGAGGGTGGGACCGTTGTCTTCCACTCCTAGCCCTCCTGTGAGCTCCCTGCCCAGGGCCCAAGCTCCTAACTGAAAACCCTTCCCCTTGGTGGGGAAGAAGGAACAGCAGGCAGCAGGGGAGCCAGATAGCATTGCCTGCTCCTCTCTCCCTGCTGTAACACTGCCTTCCTCAGGCTGAGGGCTTAGTCAGCCTCCCTCTGCCCCTCCTTACTCTGAACACAGCTGTAAGCACCTCCTTTTATGAGCATGGGGACAGCATGTTATTTTCCCAAGTCTCAGATCATCCTAAGGTTTATTCCCTCCAAAATCGAGGAAAAAATATTGTTTAAAGCTGCGCACCAGGGTCCCAGCCTGTTTTCTCTGCTGATCCCAACCCCCATCCCACTCAGCCACCCTCAGACACTCATCCCCCTCCAGTCTCACTTGGAGGCTCTGCCACCCTTTCTCCCTTGTTCCACCCCCCACCCTCTACTCCCTGACAGTCCCCAAAGACAGTAATTTGCACTCTTTGCCCTGGCAGAGACCCTCTCTGCTCATACTTCTGTCAGCCCTAGATCCCCACTCCAAACATCACTTCTGGCCCCCTCCACTCCTCTGACCCCGAAAGGAGGCAGCATGCTGGAGGTGGGGCTCAGGCTCTTTATTAGGCAGCAGGAAAAGAGGTGACCCAGCTCTGATGGGAGGGGGAGGACACCGGGAGGCCTCGTTGAACAGCTCCAACTCGTGGGAGACCAGAGCTAGGCAGTCGTTGGAGAAGGGGCAAAGCAGGCACCACCCAGCCTTCCTGCTTAGGACAGAGCATGCGTGGGCTGCACCATCACTCCTCCTCATCTTCTTCTTCTAAAGGTGGCCGATTCCGTTTGAAGAAGCCAAGCTGGGGGTGCACAGGAACATGAACAGGGTGTAAAGATGATATTTAGACCCCAGAGCAGCAGTGGAGGATATATCCTAGAAACCAGCCAGTGGTAAGGTCCTCGCCCTGGACCAGCAGCGAATACAAACCCCACCATCAAATGGAAACCATTCCCCATTTAGAGATAATGCCTATAACAAAAAATCTTTTTTAATGTTTTGTTTTTTCTTCCCTGAATTTTTCTTAAATATTGATGATTATGTCTTTATGTGACTCAAGCTCATGTAGTATGTATTTGATTATTATAAGTCTAATGTGCGGTTTTCCCTAAAAGCACCATGGCTTCCCAGAGCCTGGACACCTGAGCGAGTTTGAGAACCGCCCACATGTTCTTCAGGTGCTGAGTTGGGAGTGACCCACCAGGGCCTCAGAAGGAGCAGGAAGCAAGGTCTGGATCAGATCTCGGTCTCCCACCTCAGTCAGGGGAAGGACAGAACAGGGAGGAGGTGAACTTTGTCCTTCTCAGTGGCCACGGAATTCCTAAAGGCAGGACTCATTCCCTGGTAGTCCTGCTCTCAGGGGGAAATGGGTCTAAAGGCCTTAGAATTTCAGGTGCCACCTCTCCCAGGCACTGTGCCCCGGAAAAGGTCCTCTGGTGAATGACACTCTAATAGGAGATGTAGATCAGAGACAGATCACCCACTTGGGTCACCATCTCTTTCTGACTCCCTGTGAGACTGCCCACCCTCAGACCCCACCCTCCCTTCATTCCTCACCTTCCACATGGCCAGGACCAGGAGTGTGAGCAGCAGCAGGCCGCCCAGCACGCCTACCAACACCCACCAGATTGGAATGTCCCTCTCCTCCAGGACCTGAAGCAACTGCGTCTGCACCTGAGGGGAGACCCGCGCATCTCCTCGGTCACGGTGACACTTGCCTTTCCCAAAGACTCAAACTTGTGGGCTGGTGACCCCCACCCAAGCCACCTACCTGTCCCATCTCTCAGACCTGGGGAGGCCCCGCCCCCATCCTGCTGGGCACAAACACGTAGGAAGACCGATGGGAGACCTGCAGGACTCATTTCTGCCCCACCATCCTTCCACACTTACCAGAGCTTCCCCACTGGGCAGGCTGAGGGCGGGCACGGCGTAGGGAAGAGAGGAGACGTTGAACCAAGCGTGCGACTGCAGCACAAACTGATCCAGGGGCCTCTGGATAGGGTGGGGGTGAAAGCCATTTACACGAGGTCTGTTGGTTGCAAGAGTCCCAGCCACAGACTCCCGTCTCGCCTAATCCTGTCCCCTCCAAAGTCCAGAGTAAATCTTGCCCTCACTCTCTTCCCGCTCCCCGAAGCCCCGCCCCCAGCACACTTGGGCCCCGCCCCCAGGAGGCCCCGCCCACCCGCACCCAGGCCCACCTGGCGCAGGCTGGGTAACCACAGGAAGGCCAGCACCGTGACCATGGCCCGCTGCCCACGCGTCATCTCCTGCAGCTCACACTGCACCACAGTACAGGGCGCCGAATCGCAGCTCTGAGGGGATGCGTCATCAGTCCCCAGCCCCTCCTGACCCATCATCCCCTCATCACAGGACCCAAGACAGAGGCGTCTGGGGGTCAGGAAGCTGGGGCCTGGCTTCCCCCTCCGGAAGGGCCTCAGATTCAAGCTTCGGACGTTATCTCTAAATGTGATTACTCACACAGTCCCCGAGATGCAGGGAGAAGGCAGGAAGAAGTGAATGAATCATATAGCGTTCAATACCCAGAATTTTTGCAACCCTGCTTTGGCATTTACTCATTTTCTTTAATGCGCTGGAAATATTAAATTCAAGTGGCCCCCGCCCCAGACACAAGGCCAGCACAATTCTTCATATTCTTGTGGAGGACTCTGTGGGACCAAGGTGGCCCACTCGAGGCCCACATCATACCAGCTGCCCCTCTCTCTCCCTGCCTCTACCTCATCCCCTCTGTCTCTGGGCTCCAGGGAGGCCCCAGCTGGAGACCACAGAGACTGCTCACCACCAGAATTGAATCCTGAAGCCTGGAGGGCTGCTTCTTCTCTGACAGGAATGCCTGTCTGCGATCCCTCTTATGGTGGGCCGGGTAAAGAGGGGAAGGGCTGGGGCTGGGCAGCCTCCAGTCCAGCTGGGGAGGAAAAGAGGCCTTCAGGTCCTGAGCTCTGTCCATCTCCCTGCCCTCCCAGAGGGGTCCCGGTTGATGGGCTGGGGACTCACCCACAGCTCTTTCTTCCACCCAGGCTCTCACCTTGAGGGGGTTGGGAGAAGGCTCTGGGGAGCACTGAAGGCCTCCCTGGGGCTGTATATCAAGGATGTAGAGCAGGTCAGAGGGCTGGGACTGGCCAGGGAGGCCAAGGAGAAGGCGGAGGCCACTTACAGTGCCAGGACCATTGTTGTGGAGCTGGTGGGGTGGTGGTGGCAGAAAGTTAGGTGGCTCAGGACCTAGACTAACTCCTGGGACCCTCCCACCCCAGCCTGAGGCCCGGAGGCTCCTCCCTACCTCATAGGTGTGCTCCACTTTGGGGCCCCAGCTGTCTGAGCTGATCTCCTTGTTGCTTTCTTCTGCTACCACCACCAGGGAGGCTGGAAAGGAGTTCCTGCCAGGGCCCAAGAACCCCAGAGTGAGCTGGATCCCTTGACTTGCCTGTGGGGGTTCTCCCAGGATCCCCTGAACCTTCAGGCTCTGCCTGCCATCTCCCTTATCCATCCCTGGCCTCTCACCCTCTCAGCTCCACATGAGCCTTTGCACGGACTGGCACATCCAGCACCACAGTCTCACTGTTTGGATTCTGGCTGTTCTTGCTGTAGGGGAATGGATGAGGAGAAACAGGTTAGGGATGCCAGCCCAGTGAACATCAGGACTCTCTGGGGCAGGGCCAGAATTTCAGAGGGCTCAGGAAGAGCTAGTTCCACAAGCAGCATGCTACACTAAAGTTAGACCTGGAAAAGAACTTCCTCTAGGGCTCCAAGACTCAGAAACAATTTCTGAGGAAGAAAAGGAACAGGACAGTCTAAGGAGTGGGCATCCCAGATGACCCTTATGTATGGAGGGCATCTGAAGGGTCTCTACATTAGGATCGGACAGGGGAGGGGAGTGGTCCCCAGTCTAGTACCTCTTGATCTGCAGCCGGAAGGACACCTGCTCCCCAGCCTCTTCCAGGTTCCCCACACTCACCAACATCGTGATTCCTATCTGAGAGACAGGAGGGCCAAAGTCACTGCCCAAATGCCCACTGAGGGTGGTCCTGCTCTGAATGTGGCCTTCAGTCCTCATCCTTCAAGGGTGCCCTCATTTATCTCCATCTTGCTCAGAAGCCCACTCAAAGGAGTTACTCACCCAAGAACATATATCTAGGGAGTAGAAGGACCAGAAGTCCAGCCTAGAGCCATCTGACTGCAAACCTAGCCCCTAAAACCTAGCTGCCTATGAACCCCTGGTAGAGGAGACCCAGCACCCAGGACGTGGTGGTCTCACCTGGGCATTCCTCTTCATGGGGTTGCCCAGCTCACAAAGCACCACCTTGGTCTCATTCTCCTTCTTCTGGTTACAGATGAGCCTCTCAAAGTCCTTTGAGGTGGCAGTCCCAAGAAAGAAGGTGGTCACAGAGCATCCCATATATATTTAAGCTCCCTTGGAAAGTCAGGGAAGGGAGGATGCCAGGGAGAGGAGGGGAGTTTCTCAGTGAGGGAGTTTAAGGGACTGTCATATTCCTCTTTATGTATTATTGTAGCACTTTATTCTTTTTAATGATTTAAAAAAATTAAACCCACAAAACATTACATGGAGTATAAGCCCATTGTTTTAAATTACATCAATAAAATAAACATATCCTTATGTAAAAGTCAATGTTGAGAAATAAGACTGGAAGGAAGTTCACCAAATGTTAACATTCATTTCCTGAGCCATTCTTGGTTTGGGGTTTATAACAGAGTTCTTGAATTTTGTGCCATTAGCAAGTACTGCTCTCCCAAATTAAAAGGAAAAAAAAATCACAGCTTTTAAAGGAAAGCATAAAAGAAGTGGGAGCTCTCAGGTGGGAGATGAGAATCAAGGCTCCTGCTCCTTCCAGGCCCCCCAACAACACCCCGGGGGTGGCACACTCACCTTGTTGTTGCTGAGGGCCTGCATGTAGTGGGCACCTGGGGGCAGGTGCACGGCCAGCTCAGCCTCGTAGGCTCCCTCACCCTTGTTGGCTGCATCCATCTGCAGCTCCAGCACATTATCGGCTCCGATTAGGAGGGGGGAGCCCGTCCTATTGGGAGAAAGGAGTAAACCCCAGGGTCTGAGAGGAGGGGACAGGCTGAGGACAGAGGATCAGGACCCAGGTGGGGAGTGGGTGTCATCAGGGCAGATGGGGCCAGCGTCGGGGAGTGTGGGAGGTCTCCATACACGTTGGCAGTGAGCTGGAGCTGTGGCACACACAGGTCATCTTCCCCACAGTCCAGGATGATGCGGGTCTAGAGGGGACACATCAGGTGTGTGGGTAAGTTTGGGGGTTACTTCAGGGCTTAGGGAACTAGAAGGTCTGGGAAGGAAAAGGAGAAGCATCAGGGTTTATATCAAAGTTTAGAGGTGACATCAATATTCGGGATTTAGATGAGGGTTTGGGGATATTGAGATTTTGGAGGTTTCATTAGGGTTTAGAGTAATATCAGATTGTAGGTGACATCCAGGTTTTGGGGTTCACATTACGATTTGGACACTATCCCCAACTCTGACTCTCTGGCAGGGGATCCTGCACCTCTCTTGCCTGCACCCACCCACCCCTACCTGTTTCTGGATGTGGGTGTCTCCATGCAGCACAGAAACAGGCACTATTCCATCCTTCTCGGGCTGCAGGGACATATTGAAGCTGAGCATGATGGGGCTCAGCTTGTCCCGGAAGTCAGCCTCATCCTAGGGAGGGGGCAAGAGTCAGGCCATCTTGCTACCACACACCCTACCATGTGTGTCTCATTGGCCATCCCCTGCAGCGCCCAGCCTAAGCCAGGGCTGGATGAACAGGTTCCACACACCCTGCCCTGTCCTGCCCATCCCCAGCCTGGGCGTACTCGGAGGAAGGCTGTAATGTTTTGGCAGGTGGTGCTGTTCCTCTCGCCCAGATCCAGATGCAGGATAGCGCTCGCCTGTTGAGAGGCCAGTAGTAGCACCCGCCGGCCCTGGCGGGGCTTCTGCCGGTCCAGCTGCAGCTCGGCATTTAGGCCTGGCAGGGCAAGTAGGGAGGGCCAGGGTCTCCTTGGCCAGCTCCCAGGGGGAGCCAGGCCCATCTCCCTCCTGTCCCCATCGGGCTACTCACGCAGCTTCTTGGGAATGTTGTGCCCAGTGGCTCCCACACATATATCGATGTTAAAGCTGCAAAGACATGAGAGGGGATGAGGGGCTAGGGCTCCCCAACTGAGGTCCCAGGTCCTGCCTGGCCCATGCCCTCCATCTCCTCACCAGCTCACTCGTGTCTTGGTCTGGGGCAGGTCACAATTCTTTACAGCAGGATTCAGCGAATCTTGCACCAGCAGCTGGACAACAACTCTCACAACTGGCTGAGCTCTGGTGGGATGAGGGAGGCTTGCCACTGTGACACTTCCTGGCCTAGTCTCCTCTGATGGTGCGGGTCCTCCCCAACCCTGCCCCTGGAGCCAGGGCTCACCTGTACACAACAACCTTGTTGGCCCCGTAAGCTCCTACCAGCAGGTCTATAGACATTGGTGGGGAGGGAAGAGGTGTCAGAATTGTTCATTAGCGAGGGCATTGGGGTCCTTATCTCATTTTCCCAGGGGTTCCCCACCCTACCTCCCCCACTGTAAGTCTGATCTGGCCTCCCCTGTCATCCCAGCCCCACAGACAAGTCAGAGCTGTCAGTCGGGCACCAGGTCAGGCACGGGCCCCTGGCTATGTCTCTCAGCATCTCCAGCTAATACCCAAGGGCCTTCCCTGTCTAGCTGGAGGCAGTCCAGGGGCACCTGGGTATCCATTGTCATCGATGTCTGTGGCACCTCGAAGGGAGAAGCCAAAGCCAGAGACTGTAGGAAAGGGGCTGTCCAGGACCTGGGAGGGGTGTGAGTTAAGCCCTTCACTCTGACCCAGGAACACCAACACTTGGCCCCGACCGCTGGGACCACCATAGGGGGCAGCCACTGCAACATCTGGAAGGAGCAACAGAAAGGGAGTGGCTGCTTGTTATCCAGTCTCTCCAGATGGTCCTGTGAAACTTTCCTGAGCTCCTTCCCTGGGCAGACCCCAGGGAGACCAGGAGAGGAATGCAAAAGTCCGGGTCAAGAAGGCAGTGGCCCTGCCTCCAGGAGTTTACAATTGGGTAGGAGGGACACTCATCAAGTCAGCTTATTAGAAAAACAGTAACAGCTCTCACTATCTGTTGAGGAAAATAGATTGACATAATTTCATTTAATCCTGAAAATCAGGCATTATTCTTCTCATTTTAGAAGAGAAAATGGAATCCCAGAAGATTAAGTAACAAAGACCTATTAAATACTGGCCCCCTCTTCCCCTGGGGTCTTCACTCCATTCCACTCCCACCATGCAAACCCAGAGCCACACCAAGGGCTTGTCACCACTAATAACTTATCAGATCCCTCTTGAAAATATATTAATCATCATAATCTTATTAATTTGTAAGAATTCTTTGCATGTGATAGGAATTAAGATCTTTGATACAATCTTGTAACTGTCTTTCCTTTGTTTTCTGACTTTACGGTATGTTTTCCATGCAGTTTTTTCTTTTCAAAATCTTTATTGATGTTTCTGATCGAGTTACATAGAATTCATCCAAACAGACCACTCAGATCAGCAGTCTCGTCCCCAGGCCCTGGGCCTCTACTGTCTCCTGATCTTTGGCTTCCTCATCTATTCACTTATTTTCTGACCATCGGATCACTCTTGCCATATCCTCAGCCATCTTGCCCCCATTGCCAGTCCTGAGCAAGCCTAGCCAGACCCCACCATATTGGACACTATAAATTTCTGACCTCCAGCTTTCACCAGAGACCTTGGTGCTGCCCAGCAGTCCCTCGGGGTTTTCTTGCTCAGCATCTATTTCAAGCTTTCTCCATTCAGTCAAGTTCCCAGGTCCCCACTTCCTTCACAAAGAGAAGCAGCCCAACTCTTTTACTATAACTCCACACGGACTTTTTCCCCCTTTCCGCATGACCCTGGACTAGGTGTTTCTTCTTTACCCTGCCACTGGGCTGAGCATCCCACCTCCACATCCTCCAGGCATTACAGGGACCCTCCTCCAGCTCACTCTGCTCTCCCTGCCCCATTACCCTACAAGATAATTTTCCTCCACATTCAACCTACTCCATATTCTTTGAAATTAAAATAATCTTCCCTTGACCTTCATGTCCTTTCAGAAATCATCTTTTCTCATTTTCCTTTCACAGACTGGTTGGAAGAGCTGTCTACCCTGGCTGTTATCAATTCCTCACCTCCATTCATACCTTGCCCCATGGCATTCTGGCTTTGGTCCCTACCCAGCCCTAAATCAGTTCTTGTCACTGTCACCCATGACCTCTTTCTTGCTAAAGCCCACGGATGCTTCTCCAGACCCATCTAACTGTAACTTTCAGCAGCATCTGGAGCCACTGATCCAGCTTCTTCCTGCTTAAAGCACTCTTCCTTTGAGTTCTGGATCATCAGATCTCCCGGTTTCCTTCCTACCTCTCTGAACATTCCTCTGTCTCCTTTCCAGACTCATTTTCTGTGGAAGTCCGCTAAATGCTCTTGCTCCCCAGGGCTCTGTCCTGGGCCTCTTCACAATTCACAAGCTCCCAGGACCTCATCCACTCTCCCCAAGCCCCTGTCTCCCACTCAGATCCCTCTGCTGGAAGTGGGGGAAGGAAGCTACATACAGCTGTTCTCTGGACTTGTCTGCCTAATGCTCCTAAGTCCTTTAATATCACAGAGGCCCCGAGCTGAACTGCTGATCTCCCCCACCCCGTCTCACCCCTTCCAGACCTGCTGCATGGCCTGAGCTCCAGGCAGTGGAGGGAACCATCACCCATCTAACTCCTCTTTCTCTCAGCCCTACATCCAGTCATCCATCAAATCTTAATAATCTAAGTAATAAATATCTTGAAATCACTGTCATCTCCAACTCCACTGCCAAAATCGACATCCAGGTAGTCACCATCTCTTGCCTAGACTAAAGCAAACAAATCCTAATTGGTCTCCTTTAACTGTCTCCTGCTGCAAACCCTTCCTGGCGCCTGCTGCCCTCAAGGTCAAATCCATGGTCCTTGTTGTGGCTGTTAACCCCTCTGCAGCAAGTGGGGCTCCTTTCTTCCCTTACCATTGTAGCCATCCTGGTTGAGGTCGCCCAGAGGTGCGATGGCCGAGCCAAATCGCCCGTAGAGCTGTGTGCCAGTCAGCAGAAGGCTGGGACCACCCAGAACACGGGAGCCTCGAGACTGCAGGAACAAGTAAATGCGCCCCACCTCGGCCAGCTTGCGGTCAGCACGGTTCTCCATGTACAGTGGTGCGCCCACCAAGAGGTCATGCTTCCTGCAGGCCCAGCGGGCAGTTATGTGGGGGTAGGCTAGGGATATGTCACAGACCAGGAGTAAATCCTCACCCTCCCGCTCCCACCTGGGTGGTCATGTGGGAGTGAGGGTTAGGAAAGGAGAAGACCAAGGGCAGTCGAGGCCTCTGGTAACTGGGGAACCAGCTGGGTAGGAGTGGGGCATCTGGTTCCTCACCCGTCCCCGTTGACATCAGTGACGGCCACTGAGTGCCCGAAATATGAAGCCATCTGCAGGAAGACGGGGTGCACCTTAATTTCTGCTCCAGGACTTGTCACCCTCTCTTAGACTTCACCCTTACCATGTCTCGTGGAACATTCTAGGGTATCAATCCCCCAGCATCGGCCACCCGCACCAGGACCTGGCCCCCACCTGCTCTCCGTGCAGTAGGTGCAGCCTCTGGTAATAGGAGCCCAAAATTTCCACCTGCGGGGACAATACACAGGAGCATGTCAGTTTTAACCACCGGGCAGAAGAGCAGGAGGTTTAGGGGGATTGTCAGGCTGAAGACTGGCTTCAGGATACTGGGTGGCTGGCAGAGGACACTCACCGCTCCCAGGGTCCATCTCCAGGTAGGGGCACCGAAGACATACTCTGGGGAGAGCCAGACCCAGCGAGTGAGGTCCTTGGAACCTACCCGCCTTCCGCCCACATTCAGCATCCTGGAGAGATTACCGTGGCCGGAGGGGGGAGGTGCTCCTTCCCAGGCTGGGCTCCCCAACTCCCACCCCTAACTAGGTGAATTTCTTGCCTGTAGTGTTAAGATTCCCGTCGAACTCGCCCACAGCCACGGAGTACCCTGAAGACACAGCTCGAATTAGTCTTTCCGGGAGGGCGAAGCAGGGAGGGGGCTGAGCGCGAGGAAAGGGGACTCAGAGACCACCCAGTCCAAACCCTGCAATTGTGTAGACGGGAAAATTGAGGCCATCGAGAGGTCAAGATCTGCCCTAGGCCACGTAGCGAATCCAGGGCGGTAAGGTGAGGTGGGGCAGGCATATGAGAGCCGGGCAGTCTGCGGGTTGTGGGGTGGGGGGAGGTGCGGAAGGAGAGGGTGGAGGCAGGCGCCTTAGCGCAGGGGCTGGCCAGGCGGGGTTAGCATGGGGGCGTTCCCACAAAGGCAGGATCGGACCGGCGGTCAACACTTAAGGGTGCTGGGAAGCTCCGAAAGGAGTGCCAGGGTTACCCCGGTAGCCATCGTAGTACTCTGGGCGGCTGTAGTCGAAGGTGAGCCGCTGGGTGGGCACGTGCCACAAGAGGGTGCCCTGGCGGTAATTCGAGATGATATCGGCAATTGGAGCCCGTGCCAGGAGACCTAGGGCGCGAGGGACAGCGGGTGTTGGGGCCCAGACCCCTGGAGTCTATCCAGGTCGAGAGAAGGGAGGTGAATGGATGGACATGTACCTAAGAAAAAATAGCCGCCAGGAGCTCCAAGCACCAGCTCCCCAGCCTGAAAGGAAAGCCCTGGAAGTGAGTGAGAGGCGTTCCTTTCTGGGAGCTGCCCCTACGCCGCTTATGCTCCCTAACTCGCCTGAGTGACTGCGGAGCTGAAGCCGGCTTCGCAATAGCGCTTGTCTCCTAAAGGAGGAAAGGAGGAAGAGTCAGTGAAGGGGAAAACCGAGAAGCCTGCTCTGGAGCCTGGGGCGGGGCGTCGCGTAGCGTTATTGTCATATGGGGCGGGGCCACTGGGTAATACTGAGGCGTGGTCTTAGCGCGGCGGGCGCAGACTGAGCTGGACCAGTGGGCGATGCCGGATTGAAAGCAGGGCATGGGGGGGCTTTAGGGGCAGGGGGTAAGGATCATATTAAGTGTGGGGCTAAATGGCCACGAGTGGGAGTAGCCAAAACCAAGAGAGGCGCTCACCAAACTGACTTTTCGAGTAAGCTTGGCTCATGGTGTTGTCCCGGCAGGGCGAGTACTCCGCGCGACCGCTGTTCTGGAGCTGAGCCACGAAGCAGCCACCTACCGGCGTCTTCTCAGCTTCCTCGGTGTTTTCTAGGACGTTCCAATGCTGCCAGGGGGCGCAGGCCTGAAGCAGGGCCACAGGAGAGTGGGGAAAGGGCGGAACTCGGGTTCCCCCCTCCACGTGTCCCTACCCGGGTCTGCTCCCTGAGCCCTGTCGTGTAATAACACCCACCACAATGTTGTCTCTCCAACTGACGACCGACGCCCCCAGTCCTTGCCCAGCCTTGAAGGTCTGTAAAGTTTGGGTGCCAATGGTTCGCGTCTCATCATCTGGAGGGCACGAGAAGGGGTGGGGCGCTGAAGCCCAGCTATCCACGCTCCCGCCTCCCTCTCTTTCCCTCCTTGCCCAGGACTCACTGAGGTCGAAGACCAGCGGGTTGCATTGGCCGCCCTCGGCCTTCCAGGGGCACAGGAAAACGCCGCCCGTCTTCTCCTGGCTGCGGCCCTCGGCCCTTGGGGCACCCACCACGATGGACACGCTGCATAAGAAAGCGGGGTAAGCGCAGTGCACATTCCAGGGTACCCCTAGTCCCAGTGCTCGCGGTGGGAGCACTACCCGGAAGGGCAGTGTGCCCTGGGGGTCACAGAATCATCTGTCCTCGATGAGACTTCACCGGCCATCGAGGGCAATATTTTATTTTATGGCCAGTGAAACTGACTCCCAGCGAGAGAAATCACATGCCCACAGTCACCTGGGAAATTAAGGGTAAAGCTGAGGCTTTAACCATTTTTTTTTTTATTTGAACACGAAGGGTTTGATATCCCTGCTGAAAGAGACTTCCTAAGCTCTGTACACAATCTACATTCCCCACTCGCCCAACCAAGAACCAGGGGTTTACATACATCGTATTACATCTGTCTGGAGACTGTTAGACTGTTATCAGATCCCTTCCTGAGAGCCAGTTTTAATGGTGAAGAATTAGGGAAGCAGTGGGCACCTCTAAAGTGGGTGGTGGGGTGCTGACATCTGAGGGCTCTAGTAGATCTAGGTTCAAATCACAGCTCTGCCATATATAAAATGTGGACAATACCAACCAATCAATGCTGTCAGGAGAAGTAAATGAAATAAATGTATAAGGAACATTCAGCATGGTGCCAGCCAAATAATACATAACAAGTGCTTAACAAATGCAATGTGTTTGTTTGTTTATCTTTTAAGGCATGCGGCATGCTTATTAAGTCATTCCCAAAACCAGTATCTGTGGAAAAGAGGTGAAAGAAGCAGGAGTGGGCAGAGGAGAGAGTCAAGTTGAGATTCAGGCCCAATGACAGCCATGGGCCAATGGCCTGGGAACTCTGGAGCTAAAAAGACCCTTCAGAACTGTCCTGAGGTAAGAGAGTTGGATGCTTACACTTCTTCCCTCCTTCCATACTCCATCAGTCATTGGTCATAGGCCACATTTGGAAGGGGACTTAACTTTGGGGGAGTGGCTCTCTTCGGCAGAGGAAATTCCCCAAGGAGCTAATACTTGAAGGCCATTTGCCATTGCCACTCCCCGAAACTGGACATTAATACCCACTTCAATAAGTAACTAGCTCAGAGTAGTTCCTATAAAGAGGAAGAGCCAGGACTCTGATCTTGGCAGTCTGATTTCACAGCCTGATCAGTCCCAACCATGAATGCTCTATTGCTTCTTCTCAAATATCTATAATTTTGATGGGGATGAAAGGAATGGAGTTGAACGGCAAGGTTTGCAAGTCAATTTAAGATATGTTCTCCTCTCTGTATTTCTAGGGGATGAGGGTGGAGTGGATCATAACACTGACCCTTGGGGAAAAAATAAGGTATCAACTTTTGCCTTCCCTTTCTTCTTACTGTGCCCAGGTCCCCAGTGGTGCCCCTCGCTGATACCCTCACCTGAGCTGATCCCTCCCCAGAATTCCTAACAAGAACTCAGCAGGAATAGATCCTAGAAGTCACTTTGCTCAACCTCTATCACAAGGGGAACTTGAGACCCACAAAGGCAGTGATGGTGGGGGAGTTCCTCCAGGGCTCACCTCCCATGGCTGTCCTTGAAGAAGTCCAATGAAAATCCAAAGTCGCTGTCATTGGAGCCTGTGTAGACGGTGAGCCGCACTGGGTCCAGGTTCAAGGCCCAGGTTGGAGGGGAAGCACCTGGTCCCAAGAGCAGCTGCACCCACTCCAGAAGCCAGAGGGCACGAAGTGGACACAAAGCTCTGGCCATCTTCTTTCTCCCACAACGTCCTAGGCAGGAATGGATTAGCTCCTTTCAGTTCCACCACAGGAAGTTTTTCTTATCAAACTGGAACCCACTTGCTGAGCAGTGGGCAGAGTAAAAGGCTATATAGGTCCTGGATCCATATGGTTTCTAGGATTGCCAGGAAGCGGGTGAGGTCGCCCTGGGGGTGGATACTTATGGCTGAAAGCCAACTCCTCCCTTTTCTTGAGAGTAGTTTATCACCAAGTCCTGGTGACTCTGCCTTTCAACTATGTCTCTTGTCTCTTGAATCTTCCCCCCTTTTCCACTACCAGCATGCTAGTCTAAGCTACCTTTGCTTTCTACTTGGGGTAGTGCAACCGTGAACCGACTGGTCTGTACACCTCCACTCCAGCCCACAGTTCTGCATCTCCTCCTCCCCTCACTCACATCAGCTGTGGCACATTTTGACTTGGTCAGGGGTTGGGGAGGGGGTGAGGAAGCTCCTGCCGCCTGATAAGGCCTGAGGCTGCTGTATCCTTTTGGATAAGGCACTTATCCACTTCCTCCTTCCAGGGCCTTGGGCAGCTTCAGTCAGCCATATTGGTGCAGCAGCTTCCTGACTTGTCCTCCATCTGGGGCCAAGTCTTAATGTGGCCACGGCAGTGCAGCCAGTGCTGGGGTGGGGGGTCAGGTGGCAAATGGATCTCGGCTGAAGGGGAAAGGAGATGGGGATAAAGTGGAGTCATTCCAGGGTATTCTGGCTCACAGGCTATGAGATTTGTACCAGCTGTTCAATCGAAGGCAGGCCCTCACTCCTTCTTGGGTGACAGAGCTCTTGTCCAGTCATTAAGATTTGATTCCAATGGAGTCATTGCCTAGGAGATGCCTCCCTCAACTCCTCAGGCTGGCACTCTGGGGTTAACACACAGCACCAAGCACACTATTTAGTCATGGTCTGTTCACTGGATTGTGTCCATGAATCCCTTGAGAGCAAGGTTCCTTTCTGCAGCCCCTGGGCCTAGCCAAGAGCCCAGCATATAGTAGGTATTGCAGACAGACAGACTGAATGGAAGCAGGCACTGAGGATAGAAGATGCAAACTCAGGGTTACATGTGGAAAGAGAAGGAATAGTTCTGAGCAGAAAGGCAAGGTCATTTTCTATGGATACTCAGAGGAAGAGGAGTGCCAAGTCTTATTGGCACTGCATGGCTTCCCAAAAAAGCAGGTTCACAGAAAGAAAACTCAAGAGATCTGCTAGGGGTTAAGGAACATAGTCACATTTCCTTTTGCTCTACATTTTCTGATAAAACTTAACCGTCATCTTAGCCTGCCCAACTACCCTGTGCCATTCTGGAATCCCTTCAGGTCCTCCCCTGCCCTCGTAATTCACCACCTCAGCACACGCAGCTCAAAATCCTATTCTTTTCTAGGTTAGAAGCTCCTTGAACTTTAGTCTGGGCCTTCTTTACTGCTGAATTCCCAGTGCCAGGCTCATAGTAGGCATGTAACGTCTTTGTTAGAATGAATACTTATCTGGGTCCTATGCTTAGCTTTCACCCTCCCACTGTCCTCAGCTGAGTGGTGGTGTTACTGGTGTATACTATATAGCCCAAATTTAACTCACATCTCACAATGTTTTTAATACTTATTCTGTTCAAGGCACTGAAGGGATAAGAGATACAAAGATAATTGTAAAGGATCTTTAAAAAACTTGGTACAGAGGCAGTTAAGACATGAACACATGTAACTGCAGCTGAGGGATAGTAAAGCATGCCTTGAAAAAGGGAGATGATGCCTAGCTGAAGTATTTTATATAATTTGCTCTCATATCAACCCTATGAAATAGGTACTATTATGCCCATTTTATAAACACAAAAATAGGATTCAAACACATGCCTGAGTCCGTGTTCTTAAACTTTGCACTATGTTGCCTTTTGTCAGAGAATGAAGGTTGTTTTAGATACAGAAAATAACATAACCAAAGAGATGCAGAACAGCATAGAGGTCAGTTAAAGAGAAAGGCAAGTAGCCAGCATAGGATGGCTACTGGGGAGGACTGGGAACAAGGGTGAAATGAAGGCTGGAGTCCAATCACTGTTCCTTGAATGCCATAAGAAATTTGAACTTTAATCCATATGAGATAGAGTCATAAAGTTTTAATTCAGAAAATAAGAGATACATTATCAATTGTGCTCCAATCTGGATTACACTAGCTACCGTTGGATAAAAGGAACTGGAAAAGACTTAGGGGGAAGACCAGATGCATAGTGGCTACAATCCTCTCAGTTAAAGGTGATGAGATTTGAACCAGGGTACTGATGGCAGGAACAAAGGAGAGAGCAGAGATCACACAATCCATAACTGGATGTGGTAGGGAGGTGTCAAAAGTAATTCAGAGCTTTGGTGGGTGGCTGGTAAGACAGAAGTACATTAACTAAAACAGGTGGAAGATCAGATTTGGAAAGGGAGAGGAGTTTGCTATTCAATAAGGACTCTGTTCCTTGTGGATGTTCTATTGGGGTCAGAGCTGGGTTGATCTCCCTTCTGAGATCGTAGGCAGAGGACTGTTGGCACATTGCTCCCACTTTCCCATCCCATCAGCCTGAGTCCTAGAAACCCTCCATGAATATTAAGGCTAGAAAGTCAATTATTGAACTTCTGTGTGCCTTCTATGCTTGGAAATGTGGAGGATATAGAGAAAAATCTTCATCTTTGATGTTTCCTTGCTAAATCCTGATGCACAATCCTGTTATCAATGGTATGTTACTTTGTTTATCTTTCTTGAACAGATATTCAAAATCTTTACTATGTATTTGACTCTATGTAAAATACTCTAAGGGATTAAGAAAAAAAGGAAGTATAACAATCAGTCCGTGTCCTCTCAGAGCTTTGTTTTACAAAATGAACTGTACTGTGATTCTGAAAGACCAGCTAAGCTTACATGGAGCAGGGAATTAGGTCCTAGAGTAAAGGAGGCCAATGTTGGGAATGCTGCAATAATTCAGACATGAACTGATAAAGGAGAGGGAAAGTTATCTTTGACAAGTAAGAATGGAAATGGTTGATAAGGCCTGAATTCATCGAGGGTGTAGAAAAGGGAGTACTTCCATGCTGCAAGCCCAGGTAGCTGAGGCAGGTAGAACCCTATTGGAATTAGGCAGCTGCACATACCTTCACACAGTGTGCTCTCAACAGGCCAGTCTGCCTCATTCGCTGACACTTTGCCTGCTCAAAAAACCACATTTTGTTTTCTAACATCTTGTACTTTGGGGCAGGGATTTTGCTATTTTAGAAAAGTAGGCAGATCTGAGCTTCCAATCCAGTGTTCAAGTTGAATAGCTTCTCTTCAGTCAAGGGGGAAATACACCTTTCCAAGAGAGTGGGAAAGATACAGACATTGTAATACTCCTTCCTGAAAGGCTGAGGAAGAGAGGAAACTAATTTATCACTACAAACCTATGGTTAGCTTTTGATGCTAAACTTTCCTTGCCTTTTGTAATTTTTCAGTACAGAAGAGTAGATAGAGGCTTTTATCTATCTTTTAACAATTAGGACGTATTTCCTTTTACCAGGTAGCTCTCAAGCATTGTAATGGTATTAAAGGATTGAGGAGAATCATTGAAGACTGGTACTGTCTAGCAAAAGCCAGACAGATGACTCAATCTCAATGCCCCTAAGTCCATCCAAAATCTTAAAAATCAGTCAGAAATTCCAAACACATGGGGGAGAGGGTATACCTCAGTGGCAGAGCAAGTGCTTAGCATGCATGGGGTCCTGGGTTCAATCCCCAGTACCTCCATTTAAATTAATGAATTAACCTAATTTCCTCCCCCCAGAATAAAAAAAATTGCAAACAAATTTAGTGAGCACCTATATGCCATACATTCTACTACACACAGATTATACAACTAAAGTGAAGAAAAGGGTAGAAATAAAAGTCATGTGGGAAAGAGTGGAAAGGAGGTGCATATTCCAAGACCCATACATGAGACTGAGAGAAACTTAGCTATTAACACTTCCTCCCACAGCATAAGCTTTACCTCTACTTGGGCAGCCGGAGCTTTGAGAAGCAAAATCTACACATCATAGATTCTGGTTCTCAAGAATCTATTCCTTTATCAAACAAGATGTTATTTGTGGCCCACAACTCCATCCCTTCCCCACTTGAGTGGATGGGGCAACAATCACGACAGACTCTGCTAAGTTTCCACAAATCATTGGTTTATTAGAAAGTTCCTTTCCCTAATTTTACAGCATATATATCTCTATCATATGTGATAAAGTTAAATACAATCTGTTATGCTTGTAGGTAAGGACAGGTTATTTTGTTTTTGTTTTTTTTTAAGTTTTAAAATCACTATTCTGGAAGTTAAATAAAACTGCCCCCAGGAAGGAGGCAGCCAGAGTATGGCTCAATCTACAAGCTAATGGGAAGCAGCACAAAAATGTTAATACTGTATTATTTAAATATTTACATGGGCTGAAAGCAAAGAAAAATGAGTCCCTTCACTTCAAACAGATGATTTCATTTTTCCAGTGCTAGTTATCAAAAAAGTAATGCTTCTGATCAGATGAGGAGCACTGAACAGGTAGAAGGCTCAATCAAAAGCCTTGTCTGCCCAGCATTCGCTCTCATAAACTCAAAACCTTTCTCTTCTGGGATCTGGAGAAGAAAGGCAGAACACAGAGCCTTGGCCCACATAAGCAGATTTTGTTTTTCCTGTCAGGTGACCACCCAACCAACCGAGCCACAGGAATAGGCAGGGAAATGCCAAGCAGGGAAGTGCTGACTACACCGAAGAAAATGAGACCTGCAATATAAACACCTTTGGATCAGTGTGTTAATTAAGTCTGAGAGCCAGGCAGAAGTCAAGAAGAGGAGGAATTGAGGTGGTAATTCCTCTGGTAGGTGTCATGGGAGAGAGAAAAAAAAAAAGTCTTTACTGCTTAAACTTAAGCTGGGCAGAAGCCATGGAAACTATGAAGCAAAAGAATTTATAGTATCTATGAACGTGCTCACCTCCCAACAAGAGGAGGAAGAAAATTGTCCCAACTCTATCTAATCTTCCAATCTACTTCTACTTCAGTTTCTAGCCAACCCAAAAGGCACATTAAAAAAATTTGTCAGAGAGGGCTAAATACTAGGGAGGCAAATGGACTGCCTGGGACAGGCACCCAGGAAACCAGGAGTCCCCCAGGACAATCACTTTAAATCTCATTCCTTCCAGAGAATAAAGCTCTCGAATCTCTCCCTCCTCCTCTGTGGGGCCCACCTGTTTCTCTGTATAAAACAGCAAAGCACATGAGGAGACTGTCATAATTGAGTGTCCCTCTGATACCCCCAGGTGACTGCTGCCCATTAGTTCAAAAATCCCAGTGCTGGGGGCACCATTTACTGCAAATTTTGTCTCAGCAAAAAAATGTTAAACAATGTTTTCTTGTGTTGTTTTAACATTTTTATAGTTCTTAACTTCAAAAAATACATGAGCTTGATAAAATATACATGCTTAGTCATTTTTGCATCTAGCAGAAAACAAATACTTTATTTTTTTGTTTTCAGTTTATAACCTTTAAAGTTTCTCAATTCAACTAGGGCAAACATATTTACACAAAGCCACCAGAACAAGGATCACTTAAAGAGCTGGATGTAAAAAATATTATTGCAGTATACTACAAATATGGAACCTTTTTATATGAGCTACAAAAAGCAGCATTTACGTTTATAGAGTTCAGTGCAATTTTTTACATTAAAAAATCCTATAAATTAAGAAGGAAACATCAACATGACAGAAGAAAATACACCCTTTAGACACATGAGCTCCTCTCTGGGGAAGCACATGGGCGACTGTGTTCTGCAGAGCTTCTATTCATGACAGGATCTTCTTTTCTGGGATATGCAGATGTCTCTTCTGGGATGAGGGACACGAGGGCAACAGCGCCAAATGTGTGACTGTTAGTGTGGGAAGTGGATCAAATGACAGCCTGAGTGGCATCTAATTCCAGGTCAGACCCCCCTTTCCACCTCACCCTGGATAAATAAGGTCACCAAGGTCAAAGACACTGAGAAGGCAGGACAAGATGGACAACCCACCGGCCAGAGAGGAGAAACATGTTTAAAAATTTATAGATGGAAGTGCAGAGGATTAAAAAGTAGACAGAGGAGGGGAGT